AACATAGAGATGTAAAACCGACATAAATTTGTTCTATCTAACTATATTAAAAAAATCCTATTGCCTCCATTTTTTGTGTCATTTATTAACCACATTTAGAAGATTTAATGTGTTCTTTAATATAATATTATCGAATATCTTAATCCTTGTGGATATTGTATCAGATATAGTGTTACTCTTTGTCTTGTCTATCTTCCCTTACTCTCTTCGCCATGTATAGACCAAAAAAGGGTGGCATAAACAAATTTTAGATGTGGGTTCTTAGCACCATATAAATTGCGCTTTCGTTCTCCGTTGAAACAGGTAGAAATAAAGGTTATCTTCTTAGAGATACTTTACCACATATGCTTCGAAGAATGATATTGTGTAAGGCCCTAAAAAATTGCAAGTTAAAAGCAAAATATGTTTATTTCAAAAGCATAGTGTTTATCCTTATTTGAGGGGGGTGGGGGTGTCTAGCCTTTGTCATGAAACAGTCGATATTGTTCTTACATTATCAACATCAGGATATCCCGGATACCACTTCTTTCCTGTCAGCATCTCTATAATTATGACACCAAGACTATATATGTCTGATTGGTATGTGATCGTGCATTTGTCTCCTCTATGAAACTCTGGTGCCATATACCCCCTTCAAAAAAATTGTAGTCATGTCAGCGAATAGGGAAACGGAAAAGGGTGTAATTTCTGCTTAAGACATAAATGATTCAAGAGGCTTTGCCAACTTACAATGTTCCAGCCATATTTTCGGTAATAACTTGGCTTTGCTTTTCATCGAAGCACCTTGACAGACCAAAGTCAGCAATTTTTGGTGTCATGTTGTCATCCAACAGAATGTTTGCTGGCTTGAGATCTAAGTGAACAATGCAATTCTGGTGAAGGTAATGTAAACCCTCACAAATACCCTTTATTATCTGATAGCTCTTTATCCAGTCAAGTCTAGAAGATGTATCTATAAATGAAATACCACAAGATAAGTGATACTACATGCGTGAGCTGCTTGAGTTAAATAATCTTCAATGTATTCATTAAAAATGGAAACAAAAGTGGCAGGCCACATGATCATACCTTTGATATACTCATGAAGACTTCCTTTAGGTACATACTCAAAGCAAAGCAAAGCAACCTTTGATGTATATCTGCCATGACAAAATCTCCATTGTAGTTTTCCATTTGGCCTTGTATGTTAGCACAATATCCCAAAAACCGGACTATGTTGTTGTGCTTTACCCTCATCAAACAATGAATTTCTTCATTGAATTTATTATCAGGAATATCAAGACTTTCAAGCAACTTCTTCACAGCAACAGTCCCATTTTCAAGCATTCCCTGCAAGTGCAAGATGCCTTGTCAGCATCAACTTGAGTTATTAGATCAACCCAGGGAAGTTGAGAGTTGTGTTACCTTGTAAACCACTGCAAACCCACCGCTGCCAATTTGATGGTTCTTAGAGAAACCATCCGTAATGTCTTCCAAAAGTGATAATGGCCAGGCCTTTGGCAGCTCGTTTTCATGAGATAGCATATGCTCGAGGTCATTTCGTGCAACACTAGCTTGGCGGCCCATTATAGTTACGTCCGGCGAGTAGTACCCTTGAAACAAAAGCAAGCATGTTATTTAGGACTAGGAGGTCACAAGACACGAGTAATCATGAAAAAGACACATCTATGAACATAGTGTTGCTCTGTTGTTGGCAGGTTGTGCGGGTGTGCAAGCTGCTCTCCCAGGTTTGAGACTTGGGCTCGCCGGATGCTCAGGTTGCTTCTCCTATAAAAAAAATATGCTGCCCAGGGGTAGTCCTAACTGGTCTCCTCTTTTTAAGACACAGCTATAGAATAGAGAATTTTTTTTTCAATTACTACATTCTTTGTTCCCTTGTCAGGGCCAGTTGGCTTGTAATCAGCCTTTGGTAAGGATCGCTTCACACGTTTTTTATTGAATCTTGTGTGGTTTTGTACTTATTTTGAGAGCACTGCCTCTCCTTGCTCCCAACATGGGAAAATATAATCACCATAAGTGAGATTCTTTTGGCATTCAAAACTTAGAAACTGTGATGTTACGGTTCAGTTAGAAAATTAGGAGCATGGGATGATGTCTAAGAAGGATTTACCACTAAGTTGCGCTGAATTCCTTATGAACTGGTATATTCTGTTAACTCTACTAGATGATCAATTTTATGGTTTTGTAGTGGTGGTGCAAAAGCCATATTTCAAAGGCATTTAGATGATGCATTCCCTGTAGAAGATTTGAACTTATATCTCCATGATCAAATTTGGATCTGCAGATGATATCATGTAATTACTGAATCTCCTGTTCAATGGTTTTCTCATATAGTTAATGAAACTTAACTCCTTATCCATGTTATCTCTAGGGCTTAGAAGATGGTTCTAATGCTTAAGAACAACTTTTTTTTATCAAGGGCATGTATAAGGAGGTGCTGGGTGTGTTGATAATAGCTGAGGTATTCTACCTTATGTGGTTATTGCCCTACTGGAAATAACATGTGCATCTTTTACAGAGCTATATATTGAGGAAAAGTGATGTGAGGTTTGTAAAGTCTCCCAAGAGAGGTTAAATCGTTTGGTAACTTTATGCGTTTAGATAAAATATGAATGAGATTGATATTGATACCATGCATCATCAACCAACGAATTTGGATATAGGAATCTTAAAGAAAATTATAAGGCAAAAATATTCGTTATTTGATTTTGGATGCATTTCAAATGTTTACTGCTAAGGATTCACATATACATATATTGAATTTCTTTTGATGTTTATATTAAGGGCCCTGGATTCTAATCTCGCCCCGGAGCCCCAGAAATCTCAGGACCGGCCCTGCTTAGTGGGAAAACGTTGCAAAACAGGAATGTCAGCTAACAGGGAAATGTTATGAAACAGAGCAAGCATACACATATCCCCTCCTCAAAACTCAACACGCGCTTGATGGCATAGGTAACTACGTACAATAAGTTTGAAGCAAATAAACAGTAAACATAGAGCTGTCATGATGCATCAGGCATGCATTTGGATGAATGTCCAAAAGGAACCCAACACGCAGCTATCGATGATGCAAGAAGAGCATCTGTAAGCCACTTTAACTATGAGGAACAAGCAGCCGTGGTAATCAACCTGAGAACATTGGCTAGATTTTTGAGTCGGTGAAAATCACGGCTAGCAACAACGACTCGACTGCCAACAAAAAGATTATAAGATCAGAAGTACTCACCGTGGATCTCCTGTCTTTCCAGAAATCAGTTCAAGAAAGATGAGCTTGATCACAAACGAGTTATGCCCCCTCTCCAGAATCGCGCAAGTAAAACCAAAACGAGTACTGGAGTCGCGGACAGTAGTGGAAGAGCAAAGCGGCAATCGCGCGGCAGTCGTGATAAGAAGCAACCCAGCCAGAAGAATCAGCGATAGGAGAGCAAGGCGCCAGGAAGTGAAGCCGCCGGAGAGCTTTCAACAAGTTGCACTAGGCAAGGGAGGCATCCTTTTTTGTGGCTGGAGTGGAGTGGATGCACGCTCCCTTTCAACTTTCAAGGTAGAGATTGGTCAATAATGAAGGCCACAAAAAGAAACGACCGCGGAAACGGAGCGGGAGGATGCTGAGCTGCCGCTTGACCCGGGAGGTGCTCGTCGACCTGTGCTGCTCCGCCGTCAGCCGCCGTCGCCGTGCTCAGCTTCCTTGCCTCCGTCGTCCTACGCTAGGGTCAGATATCTGTGGTTCTGTAGCTCCTGAAACGTACAACAGTTTTCCCACTAGAACAGAGGAGCAAAAAAAGTACAGAGATTTGACTACTGACACTGAAGCGAACAATCCTATTCTTTTGTACTGTTGGGCCTGAAAATTCAGGCAGTCGGAGGCCGCACGGTGCTCACAATTAAACCATGGTGGTCTTGTAAAAAATTCTGTCAAAGGACTACATTCCTTCAGTCCCAAGAGAGCCTGTCCGTGCCCAACAAAGACTCAGCCACAGCCAAATTCCTTCAGCAGAGCAAGAGAGGAAATGGAAGAGGCCAAGAGGGGCAGGAAGGAGGCCAAGGCGAGGCAGGAGGTGCCCGTCCACCTGTGCTGCTCCGTCGTCAGCGCCGTCGCCGCCCTGAGGTTCCTCGCCTCCGTCGTGCTCCAGTAGAGTCAGGGACGGGATATCTGTCAGGTACCTCGTGAAACATGTACAACAGTTTCTGTAGAGAGATTTTGACTGTTACTAAAACTTAAGAGACAATCCTATTTGTACTGTTGGACCTGAAAATTCAGGCAGTAGAAGACCGAACAGTCTCCACTGGGATTATTCTGTATAGTACCTATCATGGCTTGCACACATCGACTGTAAAAGGGATGCATTAGCTGCAAACAAGAGATTCAGAGACATTTAGTACATACCTTGTTTTATCAGATTGCACACAAATTAGAACACCTCCGGACAAGTCGGCTAAATTTTTACAAAGTTAGTACAACTTTGTAGTAATATGAATCGGAAGGAGTACATACTCCTGCCAATCAAGAATCAAGAATTGTTAAACGAAATCATGAATACAACTCAGGAGCTAAAAGATGCGTTTTCGATGGCAGTGTGTAAAGAACATGCACCGTAACACTTTGAGACGAGACAATGATATAGTTGTCCATTCTTGTTCATGGTACATCTTCCACAATTTCAAGCCTGGGTTGCAGGAAAGATTTGGCACCTTCTTCCAATTCCAACCTTTCCCATGATTCAACATCAATCTCGAGTACCTGCAGTTTTCGTGGCAAGCTGTTTGTCCTGAAAGGAAGCCTCTTCAGTTCTTGACAATCATTAAGTTCCAGCCGCTCTAGGGATGGGAATGTCACATCCGGATCGCCAATATTGACCAGCGATACACACCTCGAAATTCTCAGATACTTGAGGCAGGGAAATGTCTTACTAGAGCTGTTTTGTTCGCTACAATTTTTATCACCATGATCCCTCATAAATGCTTGCTGCATCAAAGAACAACCACCTATTATGAGTTGTTCGAGGCAAGGCAGATACATCGCCCAAGAGAGGTCATTTAGCTTTCCGCAAAACAACACCGTCAAACAAGTGAGCCTTGGAAATAGAGATGTTGGAGATGTTTCCATCCAAATTATCTCTCTCAAGTCTGACAAATGAAACAAAAGGATCTGATTGAGTGTACCAAAACAGCAGCTTGGTTGTGCAAACTCGTGACTTAAAATTATTTCCTTCATTTTGCACATTTGAATTCGCAGTTCATACAAGGTCCTTCGTGCAAAGTCATGTGATAGAATATCAGAGAAGTTGAGTGCATGTGTCTCTAGTCCCCGCAGATTTAAATACCTGATGGGGAGGTCACCGCCTCCTCTTAATTGTAGTATTTTATACTCCACAATGATACCAACTGCTTTCAAGTGGGGCAGGGTGCCCAGCTCTCGAAGCATTCTAGAAAGAAGTTCGTGAGAAACTGGACTAAAAAAATCAGTTCTGATGTCTATTAGCTGTAATGCTTTAAGGCTAGATATGACCCTCTCCGGTATCCTTTGTATGCTAGTCGATTCTAGGTACAGGAACTTGAGCTTAACGAGGTTTCCAAAGCAGTGAGGCACTTCATCCACATCAAGATTATCCGACAAATCAAGGTGTTCCAAGTTTGGCAAGGAACATAATTCTTCAGGTATTCGGCTCAGACGGTTAAAGCGCAAATCCAGATATGTGAGTGAAGCGAATTTCTTGATTTCTCCAGCTATTATGCTTTCATGCAACTGATTATTTCCAAGACATAAGATACTCATGTAACGGGGATTCGAGTCACACAGGGGAAATTCCAACAAATGGTTCTGGACCAATGAGATGCATCGAACTTGGTTCCAAGGAATGCTAAATTTTTCATCCGGGCCAACTCCTGCACGAACAAACCACTTGCCATTGTTCTCACTGCATCCACAAGAGATCCATAAAGCCATGTCACGAACCACGTCATGCATTTTAACAAAATCATACAACTTTCCACATCCATCTAACAGACATGAAGCTGAAAGCTCTCCCATCAAACTATATGCTTTTGTGTAGGAACATTGTATGTCTGACTCAAACACTAGACCTAAGCCAATCCAGCATTTAGCAAGCTCTACTTTAGGAATCTTTTGATTCTCTGGCCATAGTGCACAAGTCAAGAAACAATCCCTCAAAGTGTTGTTTCGTAAACTATCAAAACTAAACTTGACCTGGCTGAAAACAACTCTTTCCATATCCAAGGGGTCATCGTTATCGCAACATGTCCGTTTCATATATTGGATGGCATATTCCCACTCAGCCATATCAAATTTCGCATACATTGCCTTTCCAATAGTTATCAAAGCTAATGGCAGGCCCTTCATTTCCATCACAAGTTCTCTTGCGAGAGCATCAACGCGAGGACTATAAGAAAGAGTTTCATGGCCAACCTTATCTTGAAATAGTTGCCATGCCTCCTCCTCTTGGAGACAAGCTACTTTAAGCTCTTTTCTCACCTCCATTTGACCACAAACTTTTCTTGATCTTGTTGTGAGCACCACTTTTCTCCTGATTTGGTCTATACTTCCCAGGGGATATGGTATGCCAACTGCCTGCAGATCTATTTGGTCCCAAAGGTCATCCAATAGTATAAGAAAGCTTCTCTTCTTCAGGAAATCAAAGATGGCATGACATTGAGATTGCACATTACCATCATACTTCAGATCGAGTTGGCGTGCAATGTCAGTTCGGATCTTTTCCACCGAACACCCCCTTGAAGCCGTCACTTGTACAACATAGTTAAAGGTCAAGTCTCCATCAAGCGAGTTCTTGATATTGTTCAAAAGGTGTGTTTTCCCCACTCCACCTGGACCCCATATTCCAATTACTCCCACGGGATCAACCTTAATGAATTGAAGTGCCTCTTGAAGGTTACGATCCTCGGTAGAAATAGATGGAGCATACTCGGCTACAACAGTATGAAGATTATCACACAGACATTTGTTGGCCTCTTGAATGTTACAATCATCAGCAGACATAGATGGACCCGACTCGACTTCAACAATATGAAGATTATCATTGAGACATTCTTGGGCCGCATGAAGATTCGTAGCTATCCCCTGCCCAACGATGATATTCTTCTTGGTACTATCATTCATAAGATGAACATTTTTCCTCCTCAGAAACAAGTTGTTGGTGGCATCCTCTAGATTTTCCTTCAAGGCAAAAGTTTACACATGTAAAATACTCGAAATAGGCATTAAATTTAGTTATACATACCACGAATAAAGTCACAGGTGCAAATATTGAACAACTCATGCCAATTACCATGCATTTATTTTCTGTTTCACCAAGCCTATTGATTATGTGTGATGTATCTGGTCTGTTTGCTCTGTTAACATCAATGCACTCTATCCCTATCTCGGTGCATAACCGTATCTGTTTCAACTGTATGCTCCGTTGAGAGTTCCCTAACTTATTCCTCCAACTTTCAAGTACCTATTGAGATAGGAAACTTAAGTGTGTTAGATATGCAAAGAAAGAATGGCAATTCTACACCCACGTATAGTGACCCATTATGTATGTGCATACGTTACCCAAAAAGGCTTTTGCCCCGCTTTATATATAAAGCATCGACCCTCATACAACCGAACCATACAACACAGCACCCAAACACACACACACACACACACACACACACACACACACACACAAAGCAAGATACAAAGGTGCCGGAGATCAGCTAAGCCAACTCGAAGCAAACAACGGATGTACAACAAGCATCACTACGAAGATGACGGAGCCCTCCACCAAGAACAGGCCACCGTGAAGAACATAGCTGACCGCCGACGGGTACCGCAAGCTCCAAGGTAGTGTCTTCAGGAAGGGCACGACACCGGAGCGCCGACACCACCCGATCCGAAGATCAAGATTTTCATTCGGAGCGCCATAGAGAATTAGGAGAGACCGCGACGGAGCCTACAGGAAGGAGACGACGCCCCCGGACGACGCCACCGTCGGTCTGACAGCGGTCAGACAAGGATTTCACCCCGGTATACCTCTCCATCTCCGATCACCACGGGTCGCCGAGCCCGAGCCACCCCGCCGCCCACGCGACCAAGGTCGCCAGTCCACACCCGAGCTGCGAGCTCCGCTCACGAACACGGAAGCTCCCACCGCAGAGCCGCCGCCCTGCCACCCGACACCCCCAACGACCGCCCAAAGGAACGAATCACCACCAGCAGCAGACCCCTACCATCGTTGGAGCCGCCAACTCCTCGACAGATGAAACCGAAGGCAACTAGGCCAGGGAAAAGAAGAGGGGGCGGAGCGGTGCGAGACCTCGACCGGCACACCCCCGCGCCGGTGACGGGTGGGCAGACCACCAATCCCTCCAGCCAGCCTCCTCACATTGCCCCTGCAACGCCCCACCACGACCTCCAAGTCAAACATGCGAGGAGCCGGCCGGACATCTGGCCGACGAGGAGGAGCGCGGACGGACAGATCCGTCTTGGAGATGACCACACGAGGCGCCAAGCCGGGCCTTGCACACCGGCCACCGGCAGCCGCGCGAGCCATAACAGATGCACCGTGTCCCCGCCGGCGAGAGCCCCGCGCCGTCCAAAGCCGGCGAGCCGCAGATCTGGCCGCGCCAGACCCAGCCGCCACCCCAGCCCAGGAAGCGTGCACGCCCGCGAAGCCCACCACGCCGCCGCCACGTGCTCGCGATCTCA